TCTGTCAGTTATCAATGGCTGTAACATCTAACTAATCAAAATAAAAATAGAAGCATTTGTTGGGCTGTTGACATAATGGAATTTGTCCCGAACTTATGACCTGGAATCTACCCCTTCCTCAGTTCTTCCTAAATGTCACTTTGACGTCAGCGTTCCTAAGCGATCCAGATAGCGTGCATGTCTAAAGGTGTGCACACGGCCGACCCCTGTGCCCCGAGTGTATGCTGAGCTGACCAGCCTTGCACAATGTTTACCCTTGCGTGCAGCGAGCCTTACACCGACCAACTGGTTGATCAAGAGGCGTTTAAAGACGGCCCCCGAAGTCCTCAGGAATTATTTAACGTCGCAGACAGGACGACGATCACAGCCAGTGGAAGGTAACCCCGCCGATGCTTATTTATAGACGCACGGTTCTCGTCTCCCCTGTAGGGCTGGCCTGCCCCTCATCACCCATCTATCAGCGCAGCGAGCAGACAAAGGACAAAGCAGCAAAGCATGCGTGCTCTACTCCCGGTGGGTTGGCATGGTGACCGTGACCCAGTGCTTCGTCCAGGGCCCTTCAGATAGCTCCGCCCTCTCCTTCCAGATGCTCCACGTGAACAACGCCGACTCTCAAGGTTGAGCGCACTCGACTCCTCACATGGGAGGCCTCTCAAGACAGAACACACATCCTCACGGTAAGAAGCGTTGAAGAGGGTAGATAAGGCTAAGAGCAACGTACCTCAATATAGCTGGCCCCAACCACAGATATTCTCACCAGATGACCTGATGATTGTGATGACCAATCGCTGCTTCGGCACAACCAGCATTACACCGCCGTTCCACCTCAGCATCAATCGCACATCAGATAGTTCTCATTATACTGCGAAACAACCAATAATTACCACGTAGCCTTCCTGGCAATCCCCTCTCCACCTGGGTCGCCTGCTTGCCTTCGCCCTCCTCACTACACACTCTCTACAGTCGCTCACCCAGCAGACCGCATGCATGTACCGCATAGGCAGAAGACAAGCGCCAGATTAGCGCAATGTACCACTGCTCCGATACCAAATTGCAAGGAAAATGAGCGATAGCGAACTTCAGAAACCAAGCAGCATCATACACATGAGACCAGATAGTCGCGACCTCGAACCAAAAGCAGAATTGCAACACGACTCCCACCAAATAAGAGCACAGCAAAAGCTCATAATTGACAATGTTCGAATAGTCTCATCATC